AGGATATTCTCTTGATAAGTTGGCTATCAATAAAAAGAAAGAAAGAAAGAAAGAAAGAAAGAAAGAAAGAAAGAAAGAAAGAAAGAAAGAAAGAAAGAACTGCATTACAGAACTGAACTGAAAATGTAGAATACACATCTCCCCCACCCACTTCTATAATATTTTAATATCTTTATATTTGCAAGCACAAATATTTAATATTCTTTATAAGGAAGTCAGACCTTCAGGAACTACTCTAAAATATTCTTCTCAAGCTGGGTCTCATTGGACAGCATAAAGAAGTGGATCTGCTCTCTGCACCAAATACATGCAGATACAAACCAAATACATAGTTTTAGACCTGGGACATAGGTGATTTTTGTAGTCAAGAACTCAAGGTATCAGCAAGAATTTCTCACTGTTTTCTTAGAGTCATAGGAATGGTGCAAGTTGGTAGATGAAGTTCACTGAAGTAACTGTGCTAAATGAAGAACATTTAGCTTCGTTTTGTTTCTGAAATCTCTCTTCTCTAGGGGGGAAATCCCATTGTCTCTGAGCCACCCAAAATTTAATTGCTAGTCTAGTTGTTGATTCTGTCAGGTTTCAACTCTTAGCTGGAAAATCCCCAGCATTCCTGAATCCTAATAGGCGGGTTATGTAAACTGGGAAATGCCTCTGAAGAACAGATCTTGGATGCCGTCATTTGGTGATAGAGGTAGCTTGCTAATTGTGCTTTCTGGAAGTCATTTTTGTATGATCCCATCTCTCTGGTTTTTCCTTTTGGGTAGACTAGCAAAGCAGGTCTTGTTTGTTTTTTGCTTTTTTGTTGTTGTTGTTATTCCTAGTAAAAGACTGCATTGTTGCAGGCCTATTTTGTTTTGTTTGCTTGTTTTTTTGAGGCTGAACAGACAGTGCATGTACACACAAAGACACACCAGAGGCTACAGTATGAAAGGCCACTTTGGATATGCAGTAACCCAAAATAAGAAAATTCCACATGCCTCTCTTCTTGCCTGGTAATAAAAATGCACATTTCCATCCCATTTCCTGATAGCTACAATTGGCTGTATCATTACAGCACATCCAAGAAGCTTTGATGCTTGAAGCAAACAAAGAATAAGGTAGATTTGTTGGCCCACCAAGCCTTGTCTTTATGCAGAAAGAACTAGGTCTGTGGCTTAGAAAGAGCAATTAGGAATTTTTGCTTATGTCCACATCTTCAGCCACCAGAGGCAACCACTACAGTCTGTCTAAAGTTGGAGCCCACTTTTCACATTTTTCAATTCAAGAATTGAGACCAAGTCTAGTATTCTGTTCTAATAGTGGCCACCCTATTGCTACTAGGGAGCAGAACATGAAGGAGACCTACTACTTCTGTTTCTCTTCCAGCATTTGATACTCAAGAGTTTCATCTTTCTGTTCCCTCAGCTTTTCTTTCCCTCCCTCTCCAAGATTGAGGGGAAATGGGAGAAACTGTGAGTCTGGGGAGCCTTTTTCATCCCCATCCAATTAATTGCCCCAACTCCATTATCTGGTTTGCTTTGCTTATTAGAAGCTAAGTGTCTTGAATGAATCCAGTGTGTTTTTTGAAGCATACAGTCTAGCTTAGCACATAGTGAGCACTTAACCAATTGTTTGCTATTCAGTAAACCAGGATTAAAACCAGGATTTTGCAAGGATTGAATCTTGCCAGTACCTAGTATTGTCAGTACAGTTGGCTGAATATTTTTTAAATAATCACTGGTGGGAAACTTTGTGGAGGATTAGTTTAATTTGCTATTAAAAGCTATACTGTAAAAACCAGCTCAACTACTTACTGTATCAATTATTTATGCACATGACTTGTAAGTTGTATTAATAAGTTCTTCATTTTGATTTTCACTAAATGTATGACTAGTAAGTTACACAAAATTGGAGTTTTTTTCAACAACCCTAACTAAAAAACTCTGCATGGATTGAAAAAAAAAAGTATCAGTGATATAAACATAGGTGCATCCCCATAGTCATCCGTCATGGGAGTCCTTACTATAAGTATCTGGATTTGCATGAGATTACAAAGCACAAAAGCATGTAGGTATACTCATAGAGAGGGAAGGAAATTTTAGAACCTTTTTCTAATTGGCTGCTTTTGTAACAATTTCATAGAGACTTTTAGATAACAAATTTGGCTGAGATTTAATTGCCACACTTTACAGACGTTCAGAGGATCACTAACTGACCTAAAGATAATTTTTGGAGGTAATATGTATGAAGGAGAAATTTTCTGACAATGAGAACAATCAACCAGTGGAACAGCTTGCCTTCAGAAGTTGTGGGAGCTTCTTCGCTTTCAAGAAGAGACTGGACTGCCATCTATCAGAAATGGTGTAGTAGGGTCTCCTGCTTGAGCAGGGGGTTGGACTTGATGAACTGCAAGGTCTCTTCCACTATTCTATTCTATTCTATTCTATTCTATTCTATTCTATTCTATTCTATTCTATTCTTAAGCCAATATTTTTAAAATGAGGCATTCCCAGTGTAAAATATTAGTGATCCGAGTCTCTGAACTGAAACAGAACTGCACACTTGACTAATAAAAAAATATTCCTGTTTGTGAACTTGCCATTGAATATATTGCACTGTAAAATGTATGTTGAAAGAATGATTTATTGTAGAAGAAGCTCTAAAGACCTTGATCGGATTTATTTTTAACTATAATTTCAAAGAATTGCTCATTAAATAACTTTCCTTAATCCGATGTCCTCTAGGATGTATTGGACTGCAAGCCCCATCATTTCCAGCTAACAAAATTGCTGTCTATACTTGATTTGGATCATATTAATCCAGCATAATGGATGATGCATACATAACATTGACTTCTTCTTTTTTTGAGATTATAGAAGGAAGGGGCATGGAGGATTTTATTAGAAAGAGGCAGAAACAAAACTCAAGACAATGATTATATATTATTTCAGTTGGAGACAACTAATTGCTGAGCATCATGAGTGGGAAGTACGTTTTGTTCTCAGATTTTGTGGCTTTCCCACTGCATCTGATTACTCAATATAAAACGAGAATGCTGAACCAAATGGACCTTTAGTCTGATCCAGAATTATAGTTCTTACGATTTTATCATTATATGAAGTGTTCTACTCCTACTAAAGTTTTTTAACACATGCCTGCCCCCCTGCCATAATTTAAGGCAGATTAGATTGAAAAAAAGTTCAGATTTCTTAGAGCATTATTTTTGAGGTTCAGTGCCATGACTGTTAATTTGTAAATGTGTTTTAGAAGACATTCCTACATCTCTGTTTAGCCTTTCCCCACATATCCGAAAATGTTACAGGTATACTGCTTAATAGTGATTTTTGAGTCAGAAGTTATTTGATAATTTAATGCTGATTACTGTTTCTGTGTCACGGTTGCGTGCCCTGAGAAAAATAGCCTACATGGAGAATGTGCAAATCAGAAATATAAATGCAGAATGCAAATTATTTTTTTGTAAATAAATCAGAATGGAAAAAGTATATAATCTGAAACACTGAGCAACATATGATAGCACGAATGTGATCGATGTAACTCAAAACCTGTGTAAGAAAATTTATGCAGGGGGAAAAACCTCTAGAGTTCTCAAGAAGCGAGTAGGAGGGTATTGGTGAAACGTCAGGAATTAAAGGCTTGGATCTCCTCAATTGCAGTTGTTTCTTGAGAATTGTCATTCTCTCTAAGACGCTACAATGACTGGAATCGGAAGGTGACCAATGTCAGAAAAATTGAATCGGGGGAGGTGCACATTTGGCCACAAGACTCTTTGGACTTTCCAAAATTACTTCAGCAATAAAATTTAGATCAGGGTTGCATATCACAAATACTGGAATGGACTAATGTCTAAATATCGGCCTTATATATTTCTTAGAAACTTAGAAGCAATATTTTTTTTCCTGTTTCTAGAAGCCACTTATCTATTTGTGATTCACTTAATTGTTTTGTTGTCTGTATTGATGATTGGTTTGTTCATATCTGATAACACACATATTTTAAATTCCAGAATTATAGAAGAGAACTACAAAGATCATATATATACCTGTATATATATATATATTGTGTGTGTGTATCATCATCATCATCATTATCATCATCACTATCATCAATTTAGCCATTGTTTATCCACTGCAAGATAAATGCCTCTTCAGCATGTTTCCAACCAATAGGTCCTGAGCTTTCTTTTGCCAATTGGGCCCGCAATACTTGCTGATGTTGTTGATCCATCTTGTGTTAGGTCTTTTTCATAGATTTTTTTTTTATCAAGTGGGATCTATTCGATGACTGTCTTGGCCCACCTGCCATCAGTTCCTCTTGCTGTGTGACCAGCCCATTTCCATTTCTGTTCTTTTATTCTCCTGATGATATCATATACTTTCATTTGTTCTCTAATCCATGTGCAGGTCTTTGTATCTTGTCTTGTAAAACCAAGCATGCCTTTCCATGGCTCTTTGCGCCACTCGTAGCTTTTGTATCGATTGTCAATTAATGTTCTCTAAATTTCCTATTAATCCCTATGGATAAAAATATAGCAAATTGTATATGGAGAAAGACAGAGAAATTTTCAAGAAAAGAATCCCCAAGGAAACCTTTGGTTATGATAGAGGTTTCTTAACCATATTATGTCCACACCTCATTGATCTAAGTCAGGGGTAGGCAACCTTGGCTCTTTTATGACTCATGGACTTCAACTTCCAGAATTCCTGAGCCAGCATGGCTGGCTCAGAAATTCTGGGAGTTGAAGTCCATGAGTCATAAAAGAGCCAAGGTTGCCTACCCCTGATCTAAGTGGTTGTCTCTGACCAAGAAATTGATATCTCGAAAAATGCAATTTAAATTCAGATTATTTGTTTCTATTAAAGGTCTAGTCTATAAAGGCAGAATGTCATTGGCAACTTATTGGTACACCAACTGAAACTGTCCCTTGCTTTAAGTATTTCAACCTTCTTAGATGATTCTCTTCGGGAATGCTAACTTTTAATTGTTGTTTTTCATGTCAGGCAGAAACACCTGGAAATTCAGTAATTAATCTGCAGACATGGAAGGCAAGGGGCCCTATCGAATCTATGACCCTGGTGGTGGGACACAGGAAGAAGCATCTGCTGCCTTCGAACGGCTAGTGGAAGAAAATGTAAAACTTAAGGAGAAGATGCAGGGAATTAAATCTCTAGGTAACGGTGAGCATGAAATGGAAGCGCAATTGGCTCCTTGTTATTATTGTTGATGGCTTTTCTCTTTCACACCAATACAAAATAACATTGTTTTGCACTTTATAATACAAATTGAAGAGTTGTATGATAGCTTCCAGATGTTGCATATAAACTGGGCCTGATCAATTATCTGGATTCAGACATACATGACCTACATGTTTAATGCTTTCATTGTCATTAACACTTCTGAATGAAAAGACTCAAAAGCATCCTCATTAGGCTTCTATTTGTGTTGACATTGCTGCTTTCTTACCACACCTATAGAGCCACATGTACTTTCAGAGAGCCAGTTTGATGTAGTGGTTAAGATGCTGAGCTAGAAACCAAGAGACCATGAATTCTAGTCCCACCTTAGTCCTGAAAGGGATCTGGGTGACTTTGGACCAGTCACTCTCTCAGCCCAATCCAGCTCACAGTGGGGAAAATTAGTGGGGAAAATAAGAGGAGTACTACATTATGCATGTTTGCCACCTTGAGTTACTTACCAGGTAATAAAGGCAGAATAGAAATCAAATAAATAAATAAATAAATAAATAATCTCATCTCAGTTTAAAGCATTAAAGCTGAATTATGGATGTACATGAATGGGGTAGTTGTGTAAAGTGAAATGATTATCTTTTCCCTACATAGAGATACTTGCTTAACTACCTTGCTGTCCAAACATTTGACTGCTCTGCTGGTAAGTGAGGATGATCTCTATGTAGAAAAGGATAACCTATCAAATAATCATTAGATTAAAATGCAATACAATAGGGCAAGCATTGTAAGCTGGGCTATAGATATGATGTATTGCTAGAAAAAAAGATTTGAGCAAGGATCAGGAAGCACCGAATTATACCCTTTCTGTTTTGCCAGGAGAGTTATTAGAAGAGTCTCAGTTAGAAGCCTCCAGATTACGTCAAAAAGTGGAAGACCTCGTGAAGGACAACGAAATGCTAAGATCAACCTCCTCTTTTGAAAAATTTGAAGAAATAGCAGGTACGAGAATATTAGAACAAATATGTGAATGTCCATCTGCCAAACCTACATTTGTGCATTAATGCGCGAGAGGAAGAGGGAATGAAATTAGATTTGGAAAAATGAGCGATTTTGATGGGGGCAGGAAAAAATAAATCTGCAATTGTGCTTTTGCTAGTTCTGTCAGATGAATCGGGCATAGTAAAATACGCTTCAATCTACATTGTGATATATGAAAAGCATTCACAAGAACAGGAGCGCTTGCATAAAATGAACTCAGCTCTTCTAACAGTTCCTCGTTTTCACCTTTCTGAATACAGCGGAACTGAATTATAGCTGTATCACAGACCAGTGGAAACTCTCCTAGGTTTTATCCAGTGGGGAAAAAAGTAATCTCAAAAAATAAGAGATGGGAAAACCCTTAGGCTGAAGAGTTAATGCCAACAGGAGCGACCAAGGTGGGCTAAATTAATGAATAGTTTACTTAGTTAAAAGATTTCTATGGCCATCCATTTGGGAAAAAAAACCCCAACAACTCCTCTGCATGGCGCACAATGGCAATAAAAAGCAAAAATAAAAAATAAAAATCCAATGACCAACCACAAACCCAATCCCAATAAATAAATACAATAAATATAAAAAGCAAAAGTCTGGTGTCCCCAGTCTTTCTCCTCCAGTGCAGCCATCACCAACTTCTTCAGGCGAGACTTCATAATGGGGATGGGGATAGCAGCTTTTCCCTGGACTACTGGGAAGGGCAGGCAGAAGGTGCCTGGGAAAGGTAGTCTGTTATACACCTAGCATATAGAGTGTTGTTGTAACCAGCACCATGAATTGCACTTGAAAACATCTTGGTACCCAATGCAGCAGTTGTTTAACAGTGCTGAGATTTCCTGATAGGCACATTGGCTGCTATATTTGAGATCAGCTGGGCATCCTCATGTAGAGCAAGTTATAATAATTCAATTCTGGATAACGTAGAGCAGTGGTTCTCAACCTGTGGGTCGGGACCCCATTTGGGGTCGATCGACCATTTCATGGGGGTCGCCAAGCAAGGCTGTCCGCCATTTTTTTTGTCCGCCATTTTTCCCCCTTTTCCGGCGGGTGCCTTACCTCCCTTGGGCTGGGCCAGCTGGTGGTCGGCCTGCTCCGTCTCTGCCGCTTGCCAGCTACGCCTTGGCCGGCGCAGGGGGCGGAACCACGCATGCGCGGCGCTCCCGGGCAGGGAAAGTCCTCGACTTACGACCGGTTGGGTAGTCCTCGACTTACGACCGGTTTAGTCCTCGACTTACGACCGGTTGGGGGTTGCGGCATTAAAAAGGTTGAGAACCACTGACGTAGAGCATCTGCACTCAAATGTCAATCAGTGGCAGGTTGCTCTACTTTAATTGCTTTGAAACTATATAAAGAAATGCTGTATGCCGCATCTTCAAAATGATGCACTTTCTCTTGCATTGCTGAAGCCACAAAACTCTCGCTTCAGTTCTTAAGAAAAAGAAAGAAGCTGACATTGCCTAGAATGGGTTCCGCCCGTCCAAGGTAGAAGTGAATCGATCAGTTTTATCTCTTTTCATAAATTCGGTCTTTCCTGTTTCTACATCTGTACAGATTCCATTTTTTTTAAGTTCATGAAAATCCACATTTACATATTAGGTAAACACCCGTTTAAAAACAAAGATAAGTGTGCATTTTCCTTAAAAGATGCATCTCTATGAATGTACTGTGATGTGTACTCTATATCAGGTTCCCAACCCCTGGGCCGCTTCTTGAAACGATGGGCGAGTGTGCGTGTGTGTGCAGCCCCACTTGCATGAGCAGTGGGCAAGCACGTGCACAAAGCTCCATTTGTGTGAGCCACTGGTTTGCATGTCCGCTGCTTGTGCAAATGGAGTTGCGCATGCATGCTCGCCTGCCGCTCATGTGGAACCATACTCTCCCCCCCCCCCGGCCAGTCCGCAAAACCGGAACGGTTGGGGACTGCTGCTCTATATCATTCATTGTAATTATGTACTTCATTCTAATTCCCATACTTAAATTGGAAAATGCAAATCAATCTGATAGATGAATTCTACAAGTGTTCTTCATCCTATGCCATTATGCCATGTTCCAATGAGTTCTAGAGTTTCTGAGAATTCAACTGAGTTTCTGTAGTAAACCAAATTATTTATTTGATTGATTGATTGATTGATTGATTGATTGATATAGCTGTCCATCTTCCAATCACGCCTCTGGGCAGAGAATTAATAGAAAACCTAGTAGTACAAGTATAAATAATAACCAGCAACAGAAACACAATAATAGCACAGTGGCACTCAAAGACAATCAAACTCAAACCACGTAAACCCATGTCAGAAAAAAACAGAATGACCAACTCACCTAACCTATAGGACCCATAACCTGGGGTATATCCAGATCTTCCAGGATTTATAAAATGCTGTCAGAGTTGGGGTCAAATTAATCTGGGGTGGGACCCTGATGGGAGAGAATTGTTCCAGATCAGACATCTTCCTGACAATCTGTAACCTGACATTACTGATTGTTCTCTTCAGTATGTGCTGTATTGGTGAATTCATCCTGCAATGCAATATTAGTTTGCCTAATGAAACACTGTGACCCAATAGACCCAATAACCAGAATTTGGAGTGAACTACCTATGAGCAGGGAATACCATTGAGTTGTCCAGTTCAACGTTTCTCTTAATTGAAATGTCTAGTCTTTCATGAGCTTGTTTAGGCTCCTCAATATCTTTTTGCCCTTGTTTTTCTTCTCTAAAACATTTGCATGCCACCCTCTTTATCGATGCTGGAGCCTTGAAAATTGTCAATTACTTCTATTTGTTGTTCATCTTTAATTCTTCTTTCTTGATGTTCAAGGAAAACCTTGTCTGCTTGCACTTCTGTTTTGCTTTTAGAATGACCCTTCTTAAGTCTTTTTTTTTTCAGTTTCTGCAACCAAGGTAATGTTGGCATATCTCAGATTACTGACATTAGTTCCAGCAAGGATTTTGACTCCAACCTAGTACTTCCAGACTTGTAGTACTTGTAGTACTTCCAGACTTGTTGTATTCAGTATATAAATGGAACAAGTATGGTGATCGAATGCAATGCTGTTTGACTTTGTTCTCATGGTGGCTTCCTAGTTATTGTAAAGATTTCTTATCCGGAGAAGATAGTGAGGTATTCCCATTTGCTTGGAAGGATTGCCAAAGTCTTGAATGATTAACAGTATCAAAAGCTTTAAAGTAAAACGGAAATACAGCTCCTTTTGATATTCTCTTACTGTTGCCATCATCCATTCAAAATTATTATAAGGTTTCATGTTCCCCTGTTTTGTTTTTTCTGAAACCTGCTTGTCCAATTGCCACTTTTCTCTCAATACAGGATTTTGCGGAATCTGATCTCTTTTGCAGAATTTCCAGCAGAAATCGTTAAAGCTATTCTTTGATTAGAACATAGTTAATAATTATTAATTATATATAAAATGGTCCTCTACCTATATGCTTTAATTAGGAGATAAAACTCCCTTTTTAAGGATTTGAATCTTTTCCAGTCTTTGATCCATGGTGCTTTTCTCCAAATTTGTTGGGAGAGATTTGCTGTGGTCATTAATGTTTCCACACCAGCCTTTTTCAAGAGCTCTATAGGGATCCATCCTTGAGGCGCTTCTGTTTGTCAGTTGTTTCATATTCCATCTCATTTCCTCTTCAAGCATCATTGGATCCTCCTCATGTTCTTCTTTTTCTAATACAGTGTCATCTTAATTGAACTCTTTGTACAGGTTTTCTGGGTATTCCTTCCAACTTTTTCATATTATGTTCCATCATTAATTCATTTATGTTCTTTATGACTTTGATGCAAGTTTGGACCATTCTCATGTTTTTCTGATTTCTTTTAATCTTCCCATTCCATTATTTTATTCTATTTGTCTATATTCTGAATTTGTGTATACATCATTATTTCTTCTCATCTGTCACTGGAAGTTTGTATTAAGTTCTCTATTTTCTCTAGATCGGCTTTGGCGTTTGCTTTTTTTCTTTAGTTACTTCTATGGCCTTGTTTAATAGCCAGTGTGTTATTTGTTTTCTTCTAGCTTTTAATATTACTTTTTAGCTTTCTCTTTTATGATCATTTTAACTAACTCTAAACAAATCCTTGAGCTTTCTGTCAACTAGGTGCAGCCCTTTGAATCTGTTTCTCACCTCAATCTTATATTCTTCTGCAATGGGTTTGTAGTATGTATCCCACTGAAAACAAGGTCTTCTCTAGTCTTTTTCAGCCTGGTGTATTTCTGTGACTAGTAGCGGATGAACTAATTCACAGTCAGCACCCAACAATGTTCTGCAATTCAGTATAGATATTTTCCATCTGATACACAAGATATATTCTGTTGATTACAATGTGTTGCCCATTTGGAGATGTCCAGGTTATGAGCTGTCTTTTGTTGTTGCAAAATAACGTCTTAAGGGACATACATCCTATTTTCTGCATGGAAGTCTATTAGTCATTGTTCTGCATCATTGCAGGTTCCTATTCTGAATCTTCCAACTGTATTGCATATAGCTTCTCTTCAACTTTTACGTTAAAGTTACCACTGACTCTCAGAACCATAAAAAAAAATCTGAACTCAAAAAGAACAGGCTAGGAACTTATGTTAAACATTACAATCAGTCCAGACTAATTGCTATTCAAAATGTGATTTTGCCCCATCCCCTTCTACTGCGTTTTTTTTTCTCCCACCCCATATATAAAAATTGATGTTACTTTTTTTAAATTTGGAAATTCTGAATGTCTATGGAGATTCTCAGTCATCCAGGTCATAGTTATCCCAAAGGTGCTTTTTCAAAAGGCAACTAGACTGTTTTTTTCTTGAACACGTTTCACTTCTCATCCAAGAAGCTTATTCAGTTCTGATTGAATAGTGGAGTATAGAAGGATTTATATTCCTTCCAATCATCTGGTTGTTAGCACTCATTCTGAGAGTTGTTGAGGCCACTTGGAGGTTCATCTGTGCCCTCAGAGTCACCTGAATAGTGTAAATGGGTGTAGAACCTTCTTGGAACTGCTGAAAGGACTGCGTTGTAAACAGGAGATAGATGGTCTCGTATCCCTTCCCCTTGGTTAAGAGAGCGCTGTCCAGTCTGAATGTAGATGGCCTGTTTGACCCCTCTTTTGGAAATTCTGAAATTTAGTAGGGAATTATATTACTAAGATATTACTGGTTTATGTGTTGTAATATTTTTCTTTTAAGAGTTGAAGCCTCTTTTGCTACATATTAAGCTGTAATTCCTGTAGAAACCATAACTAAGGCAAAAAAAACCCCCCAGGTTTATAAAGATAAAGTTTTCCCCTGTCCTGACACTAGGTGGTGGTGCTCATCTCTGTTTCTTAGCTGAGGGACCCAGCATTGTCTGAAGATATTTACGTGGTCATGCGGTCAGCATGACTATATGCCGAGGCCCACGGGACTCTGTTACCTTCCCACCGAAGTGGTACCTATTTATTCATATTTGCATGCTTTTGAATTGCTAGCTGGGCAGGAGCTGGGGCAAATAACAGAATAATAGAGTTGGAAAGGACCTTGGAGGTCTTCTAGTCCAACCCCCCTGCTCAAGCAGGAGACCCTATGCCATTCCAGACAAGTGGCTGTCCAGTCTCTTCTTAAAAGTCTCCATCGATGGAACACCCACAACTTCTGAAGGCAAGCCATTCCACTGATTAATCGTTCTCATTGTTAGGAAACTTCTCCTTGGCTCTAGATTGCTTCTCTTCTTGATTAGTTAAGTAATGCTAGCTCATCTTATTGTGCAGTGCTCAGGTGTCAAACCCAGGCATGAACAGGGAAAAGTCAGCTGATGACAGCCTACTGGAGGAACAAAGTTGAAAGCTGGAAGGAATAGAGTTCAGAATGGAGGTGAGAGCAGCCTTCCGAATTTAGGAGAAACCTCTTGGGAGATACCTGAAGATTGGAACTAGAGGCTGAACAGAATATGAAGCCACTCTTTAAGGTCATAAGCAGAGAGATCTGGCCAAAGGAAATTTCAAGCAGTATTTGAAATATTTGAAACCTTTCTTCAAGGAGCTAGCAGTAGCAGGAGGAAATAAAGCTAGTGGAAGATTGCTATACATAAATTATCCTTATTGTGAGAGACTGACTAAAGGTTAGGAAAATCTCATCTGAGGAAACAACAGTTGAAAGATCAAGTGGTTGGGAAAGATTCCTTATGTATTAGGAAACATAACTAAATGTATGGACTGAAGTAATCGCTGGCTTCTGGTAGAAAATCAAATCCTTATGTAAGCCCTCATCCCATAATAAGTATCTTTTCGTTCAGTATGTAAACTGTTCATATGGTGATGTCAGTGTATGTGCTATAGGAACAAAGCTACAGAGTTCTTTTTAATGTAACGTACACTGTGGTTGTTGTTTTTTGCTTACAGTAGTTAAAACATTTTATAGTTGAGGGAGTGATCCTAATGCTATAAACCCAAGCCTATATTTTCTTGAAAACACAAAACCAGTCAAATGACCACATGGTTTTGTCATGGGATTAAAGGAAACATATCTTACATGGTTTAATTGAGCACTTTTAATAACTATTGGAGATGTAATTTACAATTTGCTGCCTTGGGCATCAAAATAACTGAAACCAGATCTCTAGAAAGACGCATAGTGTGATAGAGATTTGAAGGAAGTATTGCTTAAAGGCTAAAATGCATGACTAAAATGATAAATCCAAATGGAAAGGCTCACAGGGAAGCCTCTGTTAATCTTAGAAAATGTAATAGTGTACCATTTATCTCAATAGACTGTACATATTTGTATTTTAAGTAAGATTTAAAATATGTAAAAGGTTTCTAAACTTCGATGATTATCTTCTTTTAAAAGGTAAATTAACAGCAAATGGAAAAGCTGAGGAATAATTTTGATCTTTCAATATTACAGTGTGCTAAGCCCAGGAGGAAAAGGGGGAAATTCCAGCTGACTTTGATCAAATGTCATTTATATACATTTGCATCACACACAAACGTTGCCCCAGAGACCAGCCACTTATACCATATGGAAAGATAATGTGACATGTGGATTTTTGTTAGTCTTTCAGGCTTATTAGAACCTCTTAAGAAGAAGAAGGCAAAAAGGACTTTAGACTCATTGACATATCTGATTGGGGTTTTCTTAAACAAGGAATTGGTTAAGTGCAAATAATGGTTGTGTTTTCTATAAAACCTCAGAATCTATTTCCTGTAACTGCAGGGCATGGCTTTTTCATTCTGTCCAAATATCTATTTAGTCTCCTCTTCTTCCCCTCCTCTTTCTTTTTCTTCTCATTGTGCTTATTTCTGCCCACAGAGTCAGGACTCTTAAGGCTCACTAATTCACTTTTTTTAATAGGTGGGATTCCAGAACTTTGCTCGTCCTCTGATATTCCGGTCGAGGGTGAGAAGAACCTAGAAAAAGCAGCACAGAAGCCATCTTCCAGTGTAAGAAATCAGTCTTGAGTATTTTTTATAGCTATGACCACAAATAAACAAATGAACCAAGCAGTTAGGCATACGTAGTAGTTGATGTCTCAATTTATTTGGGGAATGAAATGTATGCACTGAATTTGTCTGCTAGGATGCAGTGAAGATATAGAAGTTAATAGTATAGTGTCCATAATAGTTCAGTGTCCATAGCTGGTAGGATTTATTTCACTTTATTTATTTCACTTTGAATTCGATGCCGCATGACTTATATTATGACGTGAAATTAACTCTTGAGTGGCCAGAGCAGTGCTAAAATTGCAGAGCATGAGGCTTATAGAAAAATATAAAAATATATAACTCTCTTACCCCAAAATCTCAGCTTTCAAGAGTTGTTGATAGTTATCTGAAACAACACAGGTGAGGAGATTGGGTAACTAAGCTTTTCCTGTATCCTGGTGACAGTGTGTGACTGCCTGACTGGACCCCTTTAAAAGAAACATTCTGGTTAACAAATAAAGCTATACTACAACATTTTGTTGTAGGTTGCAGTTTTTGTTATTGTTCTAAGGCTATCTGACCATCAGGTTACATAATTAAAAGCAAAACAAAGCATTTAAATGTGCTTTCTCTCCCCCCCCCCCTCTTTCTTTCAAGGGATCCTCATCTGAATTTGAAATTGTTGCCAATGAAGATAAGAGGTCCTCTCAAGAGAGTAGTAGGAAATCTGTAAGTAATGAAACATTTCTCAAAACTTCCTTGTGTAATTTTAGAAATGAAAATAGGGATAGGTAGTTATGGAGCAATTCACAGAAAATAGGCTAACTTTGATTACTACCTGGATTTGACTGATTGATTACTTTTTTAAAAAATAATTATAACTGAATTATATTGCACCATGTAGCATCTTGTAGAAAAAGGTTACGCTCATTCCTAATGAGCTCAATAGTCTAACATTTAACAGTGTCAAGCATCCTATCTAGAGCCAATGAATCTATGTGTGTATAAGTGTATTTGTATGAAAAAGAGAAAATGTTTCTCTGTAGGTCATTCTTAAGATTCAAAATACTTCCCAGGTATTTTTTGATCATTAAGGGAAAAGAAACCTATGTTCCCATTCTTTTTTTCTTCATGGTGGACAAAGAGTTAGGATAAAGGAGAAGATTCTTCACTTTAAGGGAGAAGGAGATCGATCCTACAAATTGTAGAAGTGGGAGGTGTAGTGCATTCCTACATTCTGTGCTAGATTGCTCCACTCATTGCTGGTTTAGTTTCTGTGATTGCCTTGCGTGCTCTGTCTCCAAGGAGCTGGCTTTTTCTGTCTAGAACCACCAGCTGCTCATAACTGGACATTTTCTTGCCCCCAAAAGCACACAACTGTACAAATCATGCATAGGGAGCTCTGGTGGCGCAGTGGTTAGAAGGCAGCATTGCAGGCAAACTTTGCCCACAGCCTGGAGTTCAATCCTGACTGGCTTAAGATTGACTCAGTCTTCCATCCTTCCGAGGTCAATAAAATGAGGACCCAGATTGTTGGGGGCAATATGCTGACTCTGTAGACCACTTAGAGCAGCGGTTCTCAACCTATGGGTCGCGACCCCATTTGGGGTCGATCGACCATTTCACGGGGGTCGCCAAGCAAGGCTGTCCGCCCTTTTTTTCCCCTTTTCCGGCGGGTGCCTTACCTCCCTTGAGCTGGGCCAACTGGTGGTCGGCCTGCTCCGTCTCTGCCGCTTGCCAGCTACGCCTCGGCCGGCGCAGGGGGCGGAAGCACGCATGCGCGGTGCTCCCGGGCAGGGAAAGTCCTTGACGTACGACCGGTTGGGTAGTCCTCGAGTTACGACCAGTTTAGTCCTCGACTTACGACCGGTTTAGTCCTCGACTTACGACCAGTTTAGTCCTCGACTTATGACCGGTTGGGGGTCACGGCATTAAAAAGGTTGAGAACCACTGACTTAGAGAGGGCTGCAAAACACTTATGAAGTGCTATATAAGTCTAAGTGCTATTACTATTGTTATGTGTGCCAAAGGATTTCTTCGCTTGACCATTTCCCAGAACAGATTTATAGAAACTGTTAGAACACAGTGTAAGAAAAATAATCTAAAGGTGATATTGTCAAGAGGGGTTTTTCCTCCTTTCTTACTTATATATGCAAAGCTACTAGCAGGTCAACTATTTCCTTGTCTTTGGTAGCAATGTATATTTACAAGCTTAGGCAATCAGCAAGCAGAATGGCAGACAGTATCAGAGGCATAGAGCATAAAGCCTTTCCTGAGAAAGGTGGGGCAAGAACCAGTGTTGCTTGAGTAAGATTATGTCAACAATAAGCAGATCAAGCTCATTCCTGTCGCTGGAAAAACTGCCAAAAAGTTATTGTTGAAAAGGCAGGAAGACCAGACCAAGAATTTAAACTCTGGAGCCATAACAATAGGGCTTTATTTCTGCATTCCCCATAAGCCTCGACCATATCCATGATGCTTGTGTTGTAAGCAAGTTCCTGACTGAGGAGCTGAGTCTCTGGAGAGTTGAGATGCACTGTCATACCTGGAGTGAAGTCTGACAGCATGATGTGCCGCCTCCTCTTCCCAACACTATGGGAGGAAAACTTCTGCTTCAACGCTCGAGATTGAACAATCCTCTTATAACTCTATAAACATGAATCGGCAAACCAGTTCTTTGCTCCAGTATCAGAACTCAAGTTGCAGCCCAACTGGACCAGTTAGCTCAAATGATGCATTAGACAGTGGGATAGTTTCTGTACCAATTCCAGGCTAATATCTGTTAACTGCTGTTGCTGCTGCTGCTATGGCAGAAATATCAACAACCACTTCCCCTGACTCTGAAAAATCCCGGCAGATTTACTCCCTTCCTTTCCCAATGTGAATAACACACAGAGTAGTAGATCTGCAGGGTTGGAATTGATCTCAAAGACCCTCCAATCCATCCCTCTGCAGTATGCAGGGAAGCCAGTTAATCCAGTCTTGAGAAGTGACTGCTCCAACTCTTCTTAAAAACCTCCAGAGATGAGAACTCACAACTTCCCTAGGTAGACTATTCCACTGTTATACAAATCTTATCCTTATTTTCCCCCCCTCTATATTAAAATAAGAATTAGATACCTGCAACCTATATCCATTTTCTCATCCTAATTTCTGTGACCATCATCCCTATGGTCCCTTTTTTTGAACACATATATTCCCAATTCTTCGATAAAGTGACTAAACTAGTAGACCAACGAAATGCTGTGGAGGTACAGTAGTATACTTAGATTTCAGTAAGGCATTTGATAAAGTAGACCACAACCTATTCCTTGGTAAGCTAGAAAAAGGTGGAACAGACAACATAACCACCAGATGGATCTGTAGCTGGCTGACAAACCGTACTCAATGAGTAGTCCTCAATGGCACTACATCCACATGGAAAGAAGTAAGCAGTGGGGTACCACAAGGTTCTGTCTTAGATCCAATACTCTTCAATATCTTCATAATTGACTTAGATGAAGGAATTGAAGGGGAACTCATCAAATTTGCAGATTACATCAAACTGACAGGAGTAGCCAACACCCCAGAAGACAAACTCAGGATCCAAAAAGATTTTGACAAATTTGAACAACGGGCCCTATCCAACAAAATGAGTTTCAATGTGGAGAAAAGCAAAGTTTTACATTTAGGCAGGAAAAATCAAAGTTACAAGTACTGATTGGGCGATACATGGCTTAAAAACAGTAACTGTGAGAGGGACCTTGGAATCCTAGTGGACAATCACTTGACTATGAGCCAGCATTGTGGAGCAGCAACCAAAAAATCTAATACAATCCTGGGTTATATAAACAGAGGCATAGAATCAAGATCACACGAAGTATTACTACTGTGTTATAAAACCCTATTAATACACCTGGAATACTGCAGCCAATTTTGGTCACCATATCACAAAAAAGATGTTGAGAGTTTGGAAAAAATTCAGAGAAGAGCAACTAAGATGATCAAAGGCCTGGAGACTAAAACATACGAAGAATGGCTGCGGGACTTGGGTTTGGCTAGTCTAAAGAAAAGAAGAAATAGAGGAGACATGAGAGCAGTATTCCAGTATCTGAGGGGCTGCCACAAGGAAGAGGGGGTCATATTGTTCACCCGAGCACCAGAGGGAAGGGCGAGAAACAATGGTTGGAAACCGATCAAAGAGAGAAGCAACCTGGAATTAAAGAGAAATTTCCTGACAGGACAATCAACCAGTGGAACAGCTTGCCTCCAGAAATTCTGGGCGCTCCATCCCTGGAGATTTTTAAGAAGAGACTAGACAATCAACTGTCTGAGATGGTATAGGTTCTTCTGCTTGAGCAGGGGGTTGGACTAGAAGACCTCCAAGGTCCCTTCCAGCTCTATTCTATTCTAAAGTCTCGAGGATTTTCCTTTGGGCTGATTTCAAATCAGATTTGTATTTGGTCTAATGATCTTTCTTATGCCTGAAGCATCAGCTTTGTACTTATGGGAGGAAATGGCCTTTTGCAAGCCAAGTGCTCAAGACTTGTAGAGCTAGACTCTTGCCAGCTGACTCTTCTGCTCAAGGCTTATGGCAGAGTGCATTGAACCTCCTCACCACCAGCAAAGACTGGAACTTCCTGCAACTTTATGGAGCATCCCCATTTCCTGTAAACTTGGGAAATTGGACTGGCTTCAGACCCACAGTGCAGGACATCAGAACTTTTGATTATTCAGCATGCAAAATTCATGGCTTGCAGGACCTAAAATCCTCACCATTCACTACTCCACACATGGAACTTCTCCTATCTCTCCTGCCAAAAATAGGGCCTTGTCTCATATGTTTTGAAAGGAAGAAGTACAGACTCTGACCCCTTCTCCAATTTTCTGGCTACTGTCGATTGCTTTCCTAGAACTTTGTTTCCTGAAAAACACAAGTACCCAGCGTCAGGGACAAAATTAGTTTGCCTGAAAGAGTTTATTGATGAGAACTGACAATAGCTTCCCCTCTTCATTTCCACCAGTGTTTTCTTTTTATTAAGAAAAAGGTTGGCACTCCTAAATTCTGTAACCATTAGGGATTGCTGTCTGCTTCTCCCTATTTTTTACACTCTTGGAACATAATTTTGTATTACATTGGTTTTGGGGGGTATATCTGGATTTGTGTGAAAGGGTATAAATATTTAACTACTTTTCCTGCTTGTTGAAAGAATTAACGTAAATTAAAATGTGGGTGAGATCGATCACTGCATCTTTGGCATTTAGAAATTATATTTTTAATGATTTTTTAGAAATTCTATATTTGAACTATTCATTTTTTTCTGAAGATCCTGCTTCCAACACTGAACATCTTTGTAATTTAGCCTCTACACTAAGCTGTGTTTTTATATCCCTGTGTTAGGTTATTAGGGCGTTTATATTTCCTCAACAATAATGTAAATAGAAATCTGTTAGATTAAGATGTATTCTGTTTTGGGAGCCCCACTCTGCAGCAGTATTCTGAATATACATCATTTCATCAGATTCATCAGTTTTAAATATAAATTTGATTTTAATTTTGCTATACTAATCACACCACTAACTAAATTTACCAAGGAGATTCCCTTTAAATGGGATTCTGACACTGAAATACACAGGCAGATGTCAAGGCAGATGTTCTTTGTTGCGCTTATTCTGGCAAGCTTTTTGTGAACAAGCCAGCTAGATTGTTGCATCCCCTCCCCTCCACACAGGGAGCTGGGGACAAAGTT